AGTACAACAAAAGCAGACCCATAATTACTAAACTTGATCAAACCTCTATAGAACAGCTTCATGTCTTTTTCTGTCCTCTAGATCTGATTTTATGTTTTCAAATTTTGTAGAGTTCTGACCCCAAAATAACAATGAAAAAGATTTGCAGCTCCAACTGTCCTTGGTTGAACTAGACAAATGTTAAAAAGGGTCAAAAGACAATAGTTTTAACTCATATTATACTACTTGTATTATCTTATTATTCATATCTTATTTTCATTCACAAGCGTAGTTCTTGTGGAACAATGGTTGTAAAATTTTGGTTAATTTCTGGAAATCATTGTTAGGACTCTCATTTTGGCCTTTTTTGAGTGTAAAACGTTGAACTTTATGAGCCACAGCTTTAGATAATCAGAATTGCTATTTTATATTAAAACAACAACAATAATAATAGCAACAAAAACTATGCAGCATGAAAGTAATAAACAACTGGTTATCAATGCATAGCTTCCCAGCAGCTACTCATGTTGTAGAACTGCAGATTGGATGAGCAATTTTTTACTTCAGTGCTCTAAATAGTAATTAACCCTTTAAATGTTAAGTTTGTTCACAACTGGTGGTCAATTCAAAACATCAACGTGTCAGAGGGGTATTTCCAGAAAGAAGGTTTATTAAACTGTACATTTATCTATAAACTCTGTGTTAACTTAACCAGAGAGGAGACTCAGACTCTGGGTTTTGTTTCCAGAAAGTCTGATTACATTAAGATTAAATACTCTGAGTTCTTTCACCTAAGAGTGTGCACGTGTCCAATACAGAACCATTATCAATGGAGCTCAGATACCTTGAATCACCATGGCAACCACAGGAAAAAAACAGAGCAGGGTCTGTTCTGAATGTCAAGGATGCAGAACTGCTGAACAGAGGTGCTACTTAAAGCTCAGCTAAGAGAGGGTGGGAGGGAGGGAGAGGGAGGAAGGAAAGAAGGAACAAAGGAAGGAAGGAAGGAGAGAAGGGAGGAAGGAAGGAAGGAAGGGAAGGAGGGAGGGAGGGAGGAAGGAGCGAAGGGAGGAAGGGAGGAAGGGAGGGAGAGGGAGGAAGGAAGAAAGG